AAAAAAAAAAAGAATCAAAACAAAGTGAACGTCACCTCGTATAAGCAGTCTACACCAAGTGCTCCCTCTATGCAAGTTGCTTTCTCGTTGAACATCGCGGGAAGCTCCTTAGCAGGAATGCGCTCTGCTCCCTGCCTCCAAACTGGAAAGACTCGATCTTCTCTTTACCGCATGCCAACTTTCAGTGAAAAAGATAACCAGATAAAGTAGCATCGATTATCACTCCTCAAACGAGAAGGTAAAGTTAGAATATCTGATACGCTCAATGTGAGCTGCGCGATCACAGCCTATGCGTAACTCGACAACGAGGCTGTGAAAAAGGCCCTTATTTTTATCAGCTCTACCTCCGCCTTTACTATTTGTCCTGCCTACCCTCCTCGCTCTAAAGAATGAAAGATAGTAACAAGCATGGCAAAATTATGAAAATACTAGATATTCAAGAAAGGATGAAACAAGTGACTCACGAAAGTCGACAAGCTGTTCCCTCGTCTGTATGATGTTCGAGTTTGCAATGTACGGATCAACTTTTCTGTCGCGCAGTGACGGCCGATTGACAACTTCCGGACGTGGTTCTGGTGAGATGAGTCTAATCGCCCTGTCAGCTTCTTCCATTCCTCTGTAGACAGGTACTTTGTTAGCGACGGGTACAAACTCCGGGAACATTGGTTTTGGTCCTATGTTTTCCAACGTTTCTCGGACACTAGCAGGGGCGTCGAACGGTGATGGCGAGACTGAATAGGGAAGCGCATTCGGTGGTACCATGCCCATCGGTTCACGATACGATCGTAACTGCGGAGCATTAACAACCCCCACAGCGGGTGCTGCCATATGAGGAGAGGCAAGCCTGTGCGTATGAGGTGACTGATGAGCGCGTTCTTTCAGTTCTTGCATTTTTCGTTCCAGTTTGTCTTTTTCTTCCATAAGACGACGTTGGGCGGCCTCTTTCTCCTGCATGGCTTTGAGACGTTGTTTTTCTTGATCAAGGAGAGCCCGAAGCTCGTCTTGCCTTCGTTTACGTTCCGCTCCTTCGGCTTCTTTTTCCTCTTGGGCCTTGCGCTCCTCTTCAACCTTTCGCTTAGCCTCATCTAACCTTTTTTGTGCCCGCAGCTTTTCTCTTTGGAGGCGTTCACTACGCTCCTTGAGCTCTCTCTCCCTCTGAGCGCGTTCAGCTTGTTTTACCCTCTCGCGTTCCGCCTGCAGCTCACGTTGTTTTCTTCGTTCCTCGTCCATCTTCTTCCGCTGCTCTTGAGCTTGCTTCCTAGCTTCTGCCAAAACACGCTGCCGTTCTCTTTCCTGAGCTGTCTGCAATGCTACAATACCCTTTCTCTCCTGTTCACCAACTGGGTCATATATAGGAATGCAGTAAGGTTCCTTGAGTTGATGATCTTTTAGAAGCTGTGCGATGATTCGACGCATCTCCTTACCGCCTTCTTTTGGTAGGATATCCAGTTCCATAATCGTCTGCGGATGGTATTTATGCTGAAATACTATAAATAACTTACTCTTCAAAATTGGTGAGTCTGGCATAGTCTTAGCAACTATAAAATGCATATGCGCCGCTACATACCACGTAGCAGAGTACGTGTTGAGCTGAGTGGACATGTGCTTCCAGAGCAGCTGATCGTCGAGGAATCACTACCGCACAGAGTCGACAGAAGAAGTCCGGCGGATGGGCGCCGAGCGTCTCACTGCTACGTCGCTCCACCAAGTCTTCTAGTCCTATCACAGACAGCACGAACTCATGAGTTTTCTCCTTAGCATTCCACTGCCAAGACACTTTCTAAATAAATACATGCATGGTCCACGTAAAGGTGGCAGAGACAGCAATCGATGGCCGCTATAAAGGGAAAACACCGCACCCGTGTGGGGTCCGGCTGCACAAATGGTTTCACTGTGTACGTGGACTTCTCTTCAGTGAATCCGAGCATGTCTAAAAGTAAACAATTCAAAACTATTGTCGAATAAATGTTTAGAAATGATGAAAAGGTTGCAAAAAGCCTTGCAATCTCTCAAAAAACGGAGTTGAAGAATTAACGCTCAAAAAACTGCGAATCAAAGATCACGAGTTGGGTTTGCCATATCGGTTATGTTTTCAGAGCAGCAAGTGAATAAGATTCCACGAAGCAGTGAAACTTTTGAAGAGATTTCTGTTATACGTATTGCAAGACTTTCTCCCAGAAATGCAATTGATATTGAATACAGTTGAAAATTACTTGAACAGAAATGATACAGAAAAAAATTACCGAGTTTATTTGACATTAATACTCTAAACCTTCTAAAGTGCTGGTCTGAGGACAAATGTCGATCCCAGACATTGCTAATAATCTCTTCAACCGTGGTCGAAAAAGCCATCTCGCACTGCTGAAAGACTTCGCCATTCGTTACGAACATTTCAAAAAAGAATGTAAAATGTGAAGAACAAACAGAGAACACGTTGGGAACGGAAAGGCAAAATGTTGGCGAAATGCCAATCTATTCGACCTAGTTACTTGCACAATTCACAAAATAAAAACACATGAAAATGAACTGCTACAATTACTACTCGAAAGCGATAAAAAACTGGAGGTCACCGTTGAGTGTAAGAAAGAGGGTTGACCGGAACAGGACTAAAAGTAATCTTGAAAATGCGGGCTAAGCATAACTGAATATTTGACATTACATATTTGGTCTTTCTGATCAAGTTTGTTAAAATTTAACTGTCATGACTTTGAAGCTGCACCTTCTAAGCTCTAACAGTGACAACAATGCTCGTTGGAGCTAGTCGCACAAAGGTAGGATGATGGGAGAACCTGCTTACAGCAACATACTGAAGAGTCGTTTTCTGGACTTTCACCAGGACATGCATCTGGTAGCCATGAGGTTTGTTTGCAACGTATTTTCAATCTAAGCCTTCAAAAAGTTTTCAGAGGAGCGCCATCATTCTCTTATAACGTTTTTGGAAAGGACTATCTGCACTCAAAACACTGTCCGTCAATACCTCTTCCTAAAAATTGAGGTGATCCGTAACTTCCAGCATCCTTTGCCACATCAAGTGGGCAAGAAGTGCCGGCAGTTAGACAACAATCACAGCCAAACCATTTACTGTTGGTTTCCAAGGTGTGGGAAATGTGTCTTCATAAAACTCATGACATTCGGAAACATCACGGCGACTTCATCTTCACCTCATTTGCCTTTCACAACTTTACTGGGTGCTTGTTCAACCTATTTTTAAGAGGCTCATCGCATTTCAACCGACAGAGAGCTACTAATCGGATTAATACTCAGTTTATAGCGAACACATCCGCATGCAAAAGTATAATTTAGAACGCTCCATCAAGACTCGACTGTTGTTTTTTGAGAGTCAGGCTCAGAGGGTTTCTTCGTCTCGCAGCTCATTTGCAATCTTTACGGAAAACAAGAATTACCACCACAACGGAGCTATCAGTGAAGGGAAAAGTATGGCNAGACGGGTATCACACCTCAAAAAAGCATGGCAATAATATCAATTACGACTGTTTGTTGCCTGTGAAGGAACGCCAGGAATAAGAGAGAACACTGCTTTTTTCATCGTATTTTTGCCTGCCTGGTCTCTTATTCTTGTTCTTATCTCGCCATTCGTTCGAACCCGAGTATTATCGAGCATCGTAGACGTCGGCAATGGTTGCTACAAGCATATTTCACTTCTCAGTACTTATTAAAATGAAGAGAAGAGGATATGGCAGCAAGTTGAAGAATACCTCTACGAATGGCCACAACGGCACTTTTTTCCACTGGAGGAGCGCTCATGAGCAGAAGAATAAAGCAACTTGCCAAGTTTTGTGAGCAGTCCCGATTTTTCCTTGTAGATTTAGGAGCAATCGAGACTTCCTACAAAACGCACTCTCAAAAGCTCTAAATACGATGAAAAACAGCAGTTCCCTCAACCCTTGTTTAATTCCAGACGTAAATTTATACCTACGCTTGAACATTAGTTTCTCTACAAGTATCTGGGCTCCAATCCTTTTCTTCACGATGCGAAAAGATATCCTTCCCAACTCCATTGGCCGTAAACTAGTAAAAATCAGTTTTCTCTGGTGTCGCGCTGAACAGAACGTTCGATAGGAAGACACACTCGCGCTGCGAACCGAATAGGGATCGTCCAAAGTAAACGACAGGAAGAGACTCAAATTTCCAAATTTCAGCGCTGTAAGCACAAAAACAATACAATGTGGACATAATGAGAAGACCAGAGCCACGAGGCAACATAAACGAAGGCGCAAAAAGGCTAGAAACATGCTCGAAACAGAAGAAACACTTGTAAACTTGATTCTCTATTACCTCCAGACATTTTCACAGAAAACGCCGGAGTAAAATAAGGTAAAACTATTCTAAATGATTTCTTTTAATGCACTCACCGTACAGCGACATAGAACCCTCTCAACCTTGCCATTCTTTTTCTTTAACGAGTGAACCTTAACTGCAGCAACGGCGAGCGCTTCCTTGATCGAGACCTCTGCTTTCTCGGCTGAACGAGGATAAAATCACACAAGATCCAAGGAAAATGTGAACAACAGAGTATAAATATAGAGGATACAGTTAGTATGAACAGTAGATACACCTTGGTCTATAATAAAAAAAGTACTTACCGCCATCCTTTGCTATTTCGTCAACCATCTCCATCACACATTCAAAGACTGGGCGATGTATGGGATCATAGGCTGTGGCATCCACCTACAGATACCAATGTACAGCTAACCAGGGAAGGATCCCAAGTCGAAGTGGCCATTTGAAATGGGACCTACACTGCTAGACGTGTTTTTGGATGCTGAGTTCAGATCTGCACTTCAAATTTGCCGAGCGTTTCTCTGAACGGAGTTATAAGGGTGGTTTCAGGGAGCTTAGCATGAGAAAACTTAAATTACATGGATGTTCCTCTTCTCTCAACGGCGGCTTGGTGTAGTGGTAAGCGTGACGCTTTATGGGCGAGAGACCAGGGTTCGCGTTTTTTGGGGGACGTCATTTTTGCATTAGATAGAATTTTTCCTTTAAGGACTAGAAAATACTCTTATGGTGAGATTATCATGTTTTATGACCTTTCAATGCCTTTGCTGATACCTTCTCCTACCTACCTACCTGTTACCGTGTGGGAGATTCCTCCGTGCGCAAAATTTGGAGGTCCGGGAAGGAAACTGCATATGATGAGCAATGATGATGCTAGAGTGGGTGTTGATGCTAGATTGGGTGAGATGGTG